TGACTCCGGTAGTCACCTGAACCACTCTCTCGGATAGCCCACAGCCTCTCTTCTGGATGCGAAAGAAGATTCGATCAACGTACAAGGTTTGCCTTCTTGTGAGAAGGTGAATTGTGTTCTCAGTACAAAAGGAGTCTTTGAGAAGGTTCAGCGAGTCTGAAGAGAGAGAAGATCAGTAGAGCAGTCCGGCAGCTGTTCGGGGGTCAGCTTTGGGATTTGCCTGATCGACCCCTACCAGTGTATTAATCTACAAAAATTAAGATTGACATTCGTATGTACAATTTACCGGATCTATCCTCTTCTACTAACTTTACAAAATGGAAGGGAAAATGTGTTGACCAAAGATGTCAACTACTAAGCATAGTCAATTGCAAATCGGCCGGTTGGTTTGCTTCTCTCCAAGTATGGGAGATTTTCCAATCTTCGAAAGACGCTCGTACTTTCTTGATCTTATGAACAAGGGGCTTACTTCCATTCCGTAAGGATCAATTAATAAGGGTATTATCCCTACGAAACAACTACCCTTTATCGGTAATTTATTATTAGAGAATAAATGAATTGGCTTTTCCTGCTTTCATGTATAAGCTAGTTCATATGGAGTGTGATAGAGGATATCTAGGGCTGGAAGAGTTGATTGAAAATAATAATCCGGTAGGGATAGCTGTGTATTGGCTCAAAGAACAAGAGGATTTACTTTTGATGATGAGTTTATCACAAGTGTTAGTGAAAACATTCATTGGGGGCCCTAACGTTAAAAAATTTTATAAAGGAACACCACTAAAAAGAAGGTGAATCCTTCTTACTCCAGGATATAGATATCCGAAACTTATTGGATAAGCAGGATTTAGCAGGAAATATCGACAGCATTTCTTATAGAAAAGAAGCCTACTTGGTTGGGTGGGAGGATGAAAAGATTCTCTTCCTACTGGAAGATGGCACTGTTGAAGTCTGGAGAGCGGAAGATATTTAAGTAAGGATGTTATGCCAGGTAGCATTCGGTACAAGAGTGAGACGGAGGTAGCTCCGTAGAAGAAAGTAGTTTTGCAAAGAAGCTTGTTCTTCGGAGTAGATTGGCACTACGGCACTACTAGCTTTTGAACAGAAGAAAGAGTTTGTTTTCTCGTCATAAGTGCCACCAATCTCGTTCAGGCACTAAACTAGTTTCGGGGAGGATGGATGGTTGTCCCTTCTTCTCAATAGAATCCGATAGACAAGAATCGAAAGCTGCAGATTTTTTTATTCCTCAAGTAAGTCAGTTGATGATTCAATTCCATCAAAGATGGCAAGAGCGGGGCATCTAGATCGATTCGTTTTTAAGGTTGTTATACCGAATAAAAAGAATTCTGATTCTCTGTTGAGGCAAGCTATTCATCATTAACAGGAAAGATCCCAAAGCTGTTATTGCACACATGGGATAGCCTGACTCTACGCTACAATCTCTATTTTCTTATGATATTGAATCTGGCTTCTATTATTGAATCAGGCTTCTATTATTCAATCTCTAGTTACCGTGGGAAAAGAAAGAGATAAGAGCTCTTAGTCCGACAAGACAAGATATCCCTCTAAAAGCTTCTTCAATAGCAGTGGATGAAATTCATCTGCACACTGATAATTCACCAAAAACAATAGTTTCTGTTTCCCTAGTTTACCTGCCGCCTCTAGATTTCGTATCCATTCCGTGATCTGGATCTTTAATTGTTGGAAACTTCTCAAGTTCTTCTGCCAAGCCTTGATTAATGAACCTACAAAATCCCTCGAATTGGATCTGACTAAATCCGGGTATTGTGGACATTCCCTCATTTCCATTCCGGAGCATCTTAATCTTAAGTTTCCTGTTTATCGAAGAAAAATTCCATTATCAGCTCACTCTTCATCAATCCCTACAGATCGATCTAGCAATTATGGAATCTATATTCTGTTTACTAAATCACATGAAATTCTCGGGAACTCCACATACGTATTTCATATATGTATTTCATACATATGAATAGAGACAATTTCAACGAAAGTTCGAATTTGCCAGGGGTCCAAATGGAATGAAAATGGGTATATAAAAGACCAACGAAACGACGAGTGAGAAGGATAAGGGGGAGTAGTAGGAGGAGCTTTCATTGAAGTAGAGGGAGCATAAAAATATGTATTTGCTATGGGACTCCGGTTTGATAAAAGTATAGAGCAGGAAATAGAGGATTTTTTCGCAAGTAAAAATCTGGATACAGTAGCGCAGAGCCCATACATAGGGCTTATTCGCGCTGTAGAGCTTTTAGAGAAAGAGGGAGATGGACCTGCCCCAGCCAATGGGAATGACGCAGGGAGCCCAGGCCCAGCGGGGAGTGAAAGGCTCTCCTCGTCGGGCTCATCGGTAAACCAACCTGAGCCGTTGACACAGGATTTATTGGCTGATGCTGTGACCTATGAGAGCCCAAATTATTTATCAGATGCGGAAAGCACAAATTCTTTAGGACCAGTAACTGATTTGGCGAGCCCCTTGGATCCATTCTCCATTCACCCAATAATGGATCTTCTTATGGGCAACTATTATTTAGCATTCACAAATGAATCATTGTCTATGACGGTAACTGTAGTTTTTTTACTACTTCGAGTTTATTTTCTATATATATGGGTCCGTGCAGCATTTCCACGATATCGTTATGATCAATTAATGGGACTTAGCGATGATCCAAAGCTAAAAGATTAAAAAAAGGCGAGAGCAGCATAATCGTTAGTTAGGGGACGGGCCCGTATAGAAAGTCAATCCTTCTTTTTCCGATATGCCGCCCCGCAAGCAAGGAGTGCCGCGCACGAGCGGAGCGAAAACTAAGCAAGGGGAATTCCGTCATTCCATGGAAAGCATGCGAAATCCTTTGATTGTTTATAGAATCAAAATCACTATATAGTCTTTCTTGTTCCACTTGCAAGGCAAGGAAAAAAAATGTCAGTTTCGTTATTACAACCTTATTTTTTTATGTCAAAGACAAAAAGCTACGCGCAAATTCTCATTGGATCTCGGTTGTTCTTAACAGCGATGGCTATTCATTTAAGTCTTCGGGTAGCACCACCAGATCTTCAACAAGGTGGAAATTCTCGTATTTCGTATGTACATGTTCCTGCGGCTCGGATGAGTATAGTTATTTATATCGCGACAGCTATAAACAGTTCCTTGTTCCCATTAACAAAACATCCCCTTTTTCTTCGCTCTTCCGGAACCGGTACAGAAATTGGTGCTTTTTCTACTTTGTTTACGTTAGTGACTGGGGGATTTCGGGGAAGGCCTATGTGGGGTACCTTTCGGGTGTGGGATGCTCGTTTAACTTCTGTATTCATCTTGTTTCTTATTTACCTGGGTGCACTGCGTTTTCAAAAGCTTCCTGTCGAACCGGCTCCTATTTCAATCCGTGCTGGACCGATCGATATACCAATAATAAAGTCTCCAGTCAACTGGTGGAATACATCGCATCAACCTGGGAGTATTAGCCGATCTGGTACATCAATACATGTTCCTATGCCCATTCCAATCTTGTCTAACTTTGCTAACTTCCCCTTCTCTACCCGTATCTTGTTCGTTCTGGAAACACGTCTTCCTATTCCATCTTTTCCCGAATCTCCCTTAACGGAAGAAATAGAAGCTCGAGAAGGAATACCACTAAAAACCTAGTTCGCTCTCAAATAAAAACCTAGTTCACTCGCTAAAGCATCCATGGCTGAATGGTGAAAGCGCCCACCAACCTAGAAAGGAAAAATAAATGGGTCAAAAAGTAGGACGAGATTCAGTAAGTAATTCAGTGAGTGCTTTCTTCTTTTATAAGAAGAGCGTCGGCTTGGAAGAAGAAAATGAAATACGAACAACCGCGCTGGTCGTAATAGATCGACTTGAATGCGTCTTCTTGCTCCAACATTCAAGTTCCATTTCAAGGGAGGACGACGTACCATGATACTTTCAGTTTTGTCTAGCCCTGCTTTGGTCTCTGGTTTGATGGTTGTACGTGCTAAAAATCCGGTACATTCCGTTTTGTTTCCCATCCTAATCTTTTGCGACACAGCTGGTTTACTTATTTTGTTAGGTCTCGACTTCTCCGCTATGATCTCCCCAGTAATTCATATAGGAGCTATTGCCGTTTCATTCCTATTCGTGGTTATGATGTTCAATATTCAAATAGCGGAGATTCACGAAGAAGTATTGCGCTATTTACCAGTGAGTGGTATTATTGGACTGATCTTTTGGTGGGAAATGTTCTTCATTTTAGATAATGAAACCATTCCATTACTACCAACCCACAGAAATACGACCTCTCTGAGATATACGGTTTATGCCGGAAAGGTACGAAATTGGACTAATTTGGACACATTGGGCAATTTACTTTATACCTACTATTCCGTCTGGTTTTTGGTTTCTACTCTGATCTCATTAGTAGCTATGATTGGAGCTATAGTACTGACTATGCATAGGACTACAAAGGTTCAAAGACAGGATGTATTCCGACGAAATGCCCTGGACTCTAGGAGGACTATAATGAGGAGGACGACAGACCAAATCTCGATCTACTAAAAGGAGAATTGTGGTTCGAGTCCACGTCGTGAGATGGCCAGTGATCTTTAGCTTGGTCATGGCCATAATGTGCTTTTTTTCCTCGGATTCATTGAAACCCTCTTTTTCCTCGCGAAAATAGTTCCAGTAAAGCAAACTAAGAGCGGGGAAGGAACTAGGGCGGGCATAAGCTCACCAATTAGGATGCGAGATTGACGCATCTTTTTTTTCAAATGATCAGGGCTTTTCCTTTGGGGCTGGGAAGGTAACAACCAGGGAAGGGCACCTGCTCTCCAATTTCTATTCTTTGTTATCCGTACAGAACTTATCTGTTCCAAACCCGAGAGTCATTCTTTCGATTCAGTAGAGCGATAATCCAAATTATAGGAGTATACTGGGCGAATTCTTGTAAGAAATAAGAAAAGTAGGGCAATAGTTGACTCTTCACACTTACCCCATCTCAGCTTTCATTGAAAATCGCGTCAATAAAAATAAAAAACCACCGGGTCGAGTTCGCTTCTCCCTTCATTTTGGTGTTTAGGATGTGAAGTTGATATAAGAAGAGAGGAAAGGGGAACTGCGCTAAATGGATAATTTAATCCTGGTGATGGGCTATTCCAATGGGCATGCATCTGAGATATGGGCTTTGAGCGTAGGAACGCCCACCTTTACAAGAGCTCAGTTCTAAGATTGTTTGCGCGCAGGCACCACTACTATTCTTTCTTTTCTTGGTATGCATCCGGTCCTATAAATCTTTTTTTTCTGACCGGAGGAAGAGAAAAAGAGAGAAAGAAATCCCTACTTACTTGACTGGTTTCCGGGTCTCAGAAACATAGAAAGGAGTGAACGAACTACAGAATGTAGCGAGCCGCCCGCCTCCTCTTCTGAGAATATGCAAAAGTAAATATATATTCGTCAATGAATCCCGGCGCAATCCTCTTTAGAAGTCAATATATTCCGAAACCAAAGTCTCTGGGGGAGAAGAGTTAGACAAATCTAGTAATTCGTGTTGTTTTCTCCTCAAAAGAAAAAGTACCTGGGGAATCTATAAATTCCATGCCGAAATGCTAGTGGATCAAGTCATTCTCCCTCGCTGGCAGGCAATTCTAGAACTTATCTCGGGATAGTAAAATAGTTGGGGGAAATGAAAGTAATTAACTCTGAAACAATGCAATTCGGGAGTAAAATCAATTCTATTCGGAGCAACGAAACAATGTAAGAGAACAGAAGGGGCACGGGCTCTATCTTTGATATTCTTCCGGGCAAGAGTTGACGGGCCAAGAGTTTTTTTTAATAAATCCTAACCGTCTACGCCGAGAGCGAAAGAAATAGGGAATGCTTTTTATTCAAGTGGGGCAACCTTTTCTCTCTGCTATTCTTCGCATCTCGAAAGACCCACGAAGCGACAATAGAGGAAATACCCTCTAAGTGCTTACTACTCATACCGGGTATTCCCACTACAATGATTGAGGACTCGGTTGAATCAAATATGTCTACCGGAGTACGCTCCGCAAAGCTCCTCACTCGGCACACAATCTATATCCAAGTCCCCCATCGCACTCCACAAGTTTGGGACGACCCCTTTCTTAACGGTGCCTTAACACAAGGCTTCCCTACTAAACCAGTACAGGATCACTACTCATGACTCCTTGGTCTTCATAGTCCTCGAGAACACGATCAACAATGTCTCCCATACATTGTATGACGAAATGCCTCCTCACTATCCAAGGCAAGTGCATGGTCTATCACCCATCACTTAAACCACTGTCATATATAGGTATCCTATCTCATCTTAGAGTTCCCTTGCCTTCAACAAGCACCCTTGTCTATCGACCAGGTTTCCAGACTACAAATCCCCACACTCAGATAGCATCCAAGTATAAGGCCCTCTCGACTGAGCATATCATCTAGGATCCACTCCCATATGCACAGTCTACTCAACTGAACAACACGTCCAGTCTACAAATGACTCCAAGATCCCTCTTATCCTGGATCCCTGCGCGACAACCGACTTGCCCGCAAGACTTGTCCTTTTAGGTTAGGTGGACCAGACCTTCGTCGCTCTGCACATGTCATCCTTTGCGCTCCACTACAATGTACAAGGTAGGTTAAGCAACGACATACCAGCGAACCCCTGGCTAACCCATTAGCCCCGTAAAGCCTAGACCAAAGGTGCCTAATAGCCTAGCCAGACTCATCGGGTAGGGAATCCCATCCTCAGCGAAGCCAGTAAGCAAGCCCAAGTCCATGCAAGAAGGCCCGCTGGATATATCCAAATTCAAAGCCCATCAAAGACTCATTTGTAGATGAGTTGGATTCGATATTTGCAGGTCAGCATCATTATTATTGTTATTTTATTAATCACCGGCGAATATTGGATTTTCTGCAATATGCATTTCATACGCAGAAATAGATGAGGCAGTGAAGTTGGATAACCCCGTTGCTAGTCAGCCAACAACATTCGATCTTGGTTTCGACAGTGAGCTTCATGGTATCAATACTGTTAGAGTATCAACGAACATATAGATGAATTGTTGATTAGTGTAGATGAATTCTTGATTGATGTTTGCAGGTGCTGTTCGTGATATTTGACCTGACGGAGAAGCGATGCCTTTTTATGTTATGGATCTAGTCCTTTTGACCAAGTTCAGCTCGTTGTGCCAGGGCATCACTTTGAGCTTGCTTTTGAAGATTCTGATTAATGCGACGATGGTTATTCTGAATTCACGTTGCTTTGCCATGATAATGTTCCGTTTTTCATGAAACAACTGTTTGGCAGTTGGTTGTTAGGCAAGATAAAGCCTACTAAACGCGAGGATCTCTGCGTGCACAACTCTGATATTTCGAACAGTGATATATGTGATATCCTGAGGGGATATGCCATAACAGCCGAGGTAAACTGCTTGAATTGTCACTTTGAGATTAGCACATTTTTCCTTATTTAGTACTGGTTTGTGAACTGCCTCTTCTCCCAAGGAAACTACTTTCTGGGTATCGACCGTAATAGGCAGAGGGCGCGGTATAGGAAAGGAGTGGATCAAAAGTATCTGCGCAGAAGGAAGAGGAACAAAGGAAGGCGACAAGAAGGCCAAGCATGCCCGACGAGTCAACTCTTTAAAAAGCTAAAATAGATGCCAACCGCACATGAATTGCAAGAATGCGGTTAGTGATTGATTGTGAAAGCAACAATTGAATAGAAAAATAAGTCGAAGGAGCTGTCAGCGAGAAAATGTTGGAATAAAGGGTCTTGGCATGTAGTCTGGTCCAACCACAACGATAGGGATTGGAATGAAAAGTGTTTGCGCCCACCTCACCAACCATCTTGTCCCGATACATACCTTCCCCTAGCAAGAGATCATGGTCAGTTCTTTGTACAGCCCATGGTATGATATTTGTCGAGAAGAAAAGAATGGCAGCCGTGTTATCACAGTAGATCACGGTTGTCTCATATGCATGCTTAGTCACATCAAGACAGAGAAGATAATTTCTCAGCCATATTGCTTCTTGAACTGCAGCCGTGCATGCTATATATTCTGATTTCATGGTAGACAAAGAGAAACAATCTTCTTTCTTACTGCACCAAGATATTGAGCCTCCTTCAAGGATAAACATATACCCTTGCCTTTTTTCGTCCATCTTTATCAGCAGATCCCTCGGCATCGCTGTATCCAACTAAATGAAAACTACCACCTTGGTAGCATAAGGCGAGATTCATCGTACCACGTAGGTAACGAAGGAGACTCTTTACTGCCATCCAATGAAAAATTCCGGGATTGCTTTAGTATCGACTCACCATACACATCTTCTACCTCATCACTGTCATCATTTGCCGGTGCAGATAATGACACATGCTCCTCAAGGATATCAACAGAACCAACCTTTTGTAGGTAGCAAAACATCTCACTCAGTAACTAAATTAGAGTTCGATCTTTTACGTTTGTGTTGTCTTTTTGCATTTATGTTTCGATCCGACATCAGATCTGAGTTATTGTTCACTGACTATATCTTAGACCATTGCGATCTCTTTCTTTCACTTGGTTTTTCTGCCTTCCCTTCGGTACTCCTTAACTCGGAGATACTCCTTCGGTACTACTTGGCTACTACTTGAACAGATGGGTTTAGTCCCTTCCTTCGGGCAACGTTTTCTCCGGGTACCACCGGGTTGAAAGAAATCCCTTACTATTAGGACATAGTGTTCGGTACGACTTAAGGCTACTGGATTTACTTTCTTTAATGTTGCATCTGCTTTCAACTATTTCATAGCCTCCCGTCCCGAGCAAACGTCGAGAGCAGGGTGTTGAGCCAAAAAGTAAAATCCATAGAGTTGGGGACTAAAGAGACTCTTTTTTGACAGCCAACCATGAAGAGAAGAGAGTCTCAGAGTAGATTCGGTAATGTTGAGTCGATCTAGTATGGAAAATTCCTCGCTGTGCGCTCGCCTTTTGCCTGCTTCTGCTTCATCTGCGGATTCCTTCCCCAGAGTTCTTACTTATAGGCTTTATAGCCAAGCAGTCCAATAGAATAGCTGCTTCTTCTAAAGCGGATTAGAGTGCGACGACCAAAGCTACGGAGCAGCCTCTACCGCTTTCCCCACTGTTCTGGTTGAACTAGGGCTTTGGCTGAGCGACCACCTTCTTCCAGTATTCTTAGCTTACTGTCTGCTTCCTGCCTGATCGGTGCTGACTGACTGTTCTTGCTTGTCTTGGGCCTGCTCTAGTTTTGGTGCAGCTAACTAAGGGTCGAATTTCGTGACTTGATGAAGAGGAAGCCGAGTATCTTTGGTCTTGAAGAGTCAGGCCAATCCAACCCGCTTGCTCCTGCCCAACTCAGTCTCAGTCGTACCATAATGCGCCTGGACTCAACACTTTTCTTGCTCCAAGACCACCCTCTAGCCCTCATGTCAAATAGATGAAAGAATTGTAAACAATCATAGAATGATTTAAGCTGAGGAACATAGAGGTCTCTCCCACCATTTTTGTCATATACCTCTTGAATAGTGTTGAAATCACACGCCACTAAGCAGGGGCCTAAACCAAGTGGTTTATCTTAGCGTGCTAGCCGCTGCTTCATTTCGTATAGCGATAACGCTTTCTCTTTCTTAGCGCTCCACCCCGTGGAGAACTCTGGTTGCGCTTTGGTTGGCTTTCTCTTTTTTTCTATTTTCTCTGACTTGACTCAGCTTGACCTACTTGACTCAGCGGTTAGAGTATCGCTTTCATACGGCGAGAGTCATTGGTTCAAATCCAATAGTAGGTAAAACCGGCCGAAACCCCCGCTTTTGCCAGCATGACAGCAAGCACAGACTGGCATCAAGGAGTCCAAAGCATCGGTTGCTTCCACTTGTTTGTTGCCTTCTTCGACCGACAGACAAGGAACCCCCCTCTTTTTCTCTTCATGTATGTGGGCTGCCTGCCCCGTCCCGAATGGACGAACAGGAAGAAGCAAGCTGAAGAAAGGCGCGAGAGACCCTCTTCCACAATTAGGTGAAGACCAGGAGGGCCGTCCACCTCACGTCAACCTTCCACTTCCCTCACCCGAGAATTGCATTTCCGCTTCAGCTTCCTTACATCCTTCTTTATTCAGGAACCTTTTGTTTGAGGGTCCTTTCTCTTCAGGGTTCCTATAGAAAGAATCTCAGACGGCTTTCATTAGATTATGCTTCCTTGCCCGTGTGGAACATGTGTGAGCATTATTTTTTTCCAACAAGTGATCCGACTGGAAGAAGTGTTATATGAGGACTTCGAGATCAAATAGAGAATCTGTCTCTCCATTCCTCGTGAGCCACTTATTTCTCCGAAATCTGAGATCAGAGTGATTTTCCTCCTTTTTCCCAAATAGTCGACGGTCTTACACCATTGGGATACTTCGGATAAACTGGAGTACATATATGAGAGACCGGTGCTAAAACCTTTTCTCGAGATATCTTCCAAATTCTTAGGGTCCTTGAAACGGATCTTGTTCCCCCGGTGCGAAAGCAGTTGGTTCCGTAGTTTGAGAATTCTGCTAATTCCAAGTATTCCATTATTATTATTTAATAAGAGAATATAAAAACTAAAGAGGAAAAGGCATAACCAGAAGAATTGTGAGAAATAAGTCAATTTATCAAGTTGAGGCATTTCGATTTGGATTTAAAATAAAACCCTCAAGACAGAAAAAGACTCCCCCCCTATATTATGAAATCATAGATTTCCTTCTAATAAATAGGAATAGGAAAAAAAAGACTCCCTTTTCTTCCTATTGATCTTGACGTCGGCGTGCTCCCCTGTCCTTCCACCCTTCTCGGCAGGAGGGATCATAGCAGGGAGCGACTACTACAGTATCGGCCTCGTTACTATGTGGTGGATTCCATTCCGTCTCTATCTATGTCATTTCGAGAGCGTTGAAGACGACTTTGCTCGACCCTCAAACTTCTTTCACTTTTATTGACTTTAGGCACTTCAAAGAATAAAGCCTCTCAAAGACACCAAAAACTAGAATGCCTTCTTTTCTTGAAAGACCGAAGTGCTTTCACTTTCTTGCCTTTCCGAAAAGGGCTGAGCTTCCTTATCCTTTTCTAGGCTGAGGCTAGGCAGAGGGTGAATTGAAAGCCAAAAGAGACAGCGCGTTCTACTAAACTCCGGATTGACTGGTTGTCTTACGCAGTGCTAGCAGGGGTTCGAATCTTCTTGATGCGGATTATCCAAGCTTAGAGTATGAAAATAGGAGCTCTTCTTACCAGCTTTGCTTTCCTCTAGAAGAGACAGGCTTACTGAAACTAGCACTAGCAGCGCGTCTTGTCCTCAGTCAAATCCAATTCAATAAAGAACAAGAAAATGTAGGTGAACAAAGAAAGAAGGCAACTGCACTGCTCTAAGCCGTATGTCATGTGCAGGTACTGTCCAGTTGAGTCTGCTTTATTTCAGAGCTTCTAATGTCCGTATGCTGTCGCGGTTTGGTCAAGTCTAAATGCTCATTATGGTGGCTCATGCGACCTACAATTTAAATAGAGCTAGTTTGGCTGCCAAGAGGCACCTGCCAAGAAGACTCAAGCTGTTGATTTCAGCTTTCATAGGGGTCTTTTGGGGGTTGTTTAAGCATAGGGATGGGCGAGTGTGGGCTACAATGCCACCGGACTTGCTGTGGGTAGCTCAAGAGGTCTGCCTATGGTTCAATTGACAGGTGGTTGTTTTTTCGGGTTGTAGTTTTTTTTTAAAGTTTTTTATGTTTCATGTACATGATGATAGAGATCTGTCAATTTGGGATTTTGACACCCACTAGTTTTATAAAACTTAGATGCGAGGAGGTTTCTTTTAGAGCACTCTTCATTGAGTCCTCTGCGAGCCTTATGAGTTCAGATCCTCTACTGTGCAGAAGCTCACTCTTAGCGATTCATCTTATCTCATGAACGAAAGGAGACTGCTCCGGTGTGCGGGTGAAGGGGACGAGACCTTGTGCCTTCCTAGTATCGAAGCATCTTTGCCGGAGCTCCTTGTTAGAGAAAAGTTGGTCGAATTTTAAATATTTAGAGCTTTTCATTATATAAATTTACCAACTAGAAAATACTTGACTATTTGACTTTACTTATTCATAAGTTGGCGCTGTGTTTACTCCGGAAAAGATAGTGCTTACTTAAGTAAGGCATTAGGGGTGGACTGTCAGTATATGAAAGAGTACTTTTGGCAATACTAATGGCAATATCTAACAGAAGACACATTATTCGCAACCTAAGTGACAAATGAATGGTAACACATGGTACCTATCCGTGCCCGGGAAATGCTTTGTGCCCTGTGTCCTTGCTTTGCTCTACCGAAGGATGACGCAAGGTTTTTCTAACAACAGTGTTCGGTTACCATATCTTTGAATGACAAAGTGCCCGGGAAGAGGAACAAACCTGAAGTCTGCCGAAATCCATAGATCAGGATAAAACCAGTCCTCTTTCGGGAAAAGAATCGAACCAATCCTTTCCTTATCCAACTTTGAGATCCACCAAACTGTGTGGAAAAGAAACACGAAATCCAAGAGAAACCGAATCATGAGAAAAAACAAACCGATAGCATTGACATTTCTTTGTCACGCTTCGGGTTAGGTCATCAGGATCCAGCTATCATGGGCAGGTTCTGAAAAGGGCCTCGGCCTTCCTATGAAATAAAGAGGGTGACGATTCTTTAGTATATTTTATCAATACTCAAAAAACTCGTAATCGTAAGTAGTAAAGAGAAAGATTGATGGATGAAGCGAGGAGTATGTATCTATGATGGGACGATGACTGAAAGACTTTTTTGCAGTAAATGCAGGAGAGAGATGATGGCCGGCCTATGCACTGAATGTGCTGTGTTCTAAGATATCTTGAATCAGATCAACTTATCCGGTATCCAAGCTAAAGCAAGAAGAACTATCGGGTGAGGGCATCTTTCTTTTCAATGAGGGAAGGGCTCTATATCGGTAAGACCATCACAGCACACCCCAACCCTCTTCTCTTGCTTGATAGGGTCAAGGCAGGAAATATAGCATGGAGTGGCGGGGGAACTGTTTGCTTCTCAGCCCACTGATGTATGTATGGCTTGCTTTCTTTAATCAGAACTCATGACTATGGATTGACTTCAAGAATACAACAAAGGGTTGTGGTGAATCCCGGTGTCGGCCCAGATAGAAGACAGCAAATTCATTATTCATTAGTTGCAATGGGGTGCCCTTGAAGTGAATGAGGTATCGAAAAAGCTAAATCAAAAGATGCATAAAAAAGAGGAGGTCCATCCGTGTACAGTAGTGAAACACAAGGACCAATCCTGAAAGACCACTCCTCCCTACCTACGGAGTTTGACAAAGTCATCAATTGGGTCAAAGCAGAAAGAAATGTTGCGTGATCAAGTTAAACAAAATGGAAAAAAGGAAGGTGATCTATGGCCCGATAGAAAAGGAAAACTTGAACCAGATTATATTAGATCTTCGCCCTAGTGAATCATAGTCAGAACCAGGGGGGATCCTCATAGGACTGCTCGTGAGCGTAAAGAGTACTTTTGACCGGAATAGGGCCTTCCTTTCTTTTGAACTCTTATTAGGTAGCAAGGAGCAATTCAAGTATGTGTTCAAAAGAAAATCAACACACAACCCCCTGAAGTCATTTATTTGCTTCTTTAATGAAAAAGGAGGACTTGGTTTTCGGGATCTTGAGAGTTTCAACGATGCCATGCTGGCCAAACAAGCTTGGCGATTGCTGGACAGGCCCGATAGTCTTTGTGCACGTGTTTTGCTGGGGAGATACAGCAAAGGAGGAGATATTCTATCTGCTAATTGCCCTCGAGGTGCCTCGTCTACTTGGATCATCAAAGGAAGAGAGGTACTGAGAATGGGACTGATCCGTAGGATCAGAGATGGTCGTACCACTGAAATATGGCATGATCAGTGGATAGATGGACTACTGAACAATGAAGCCGTTAGGGAGAATGACTGATGATCCAGTTCAGTTAGTTGCCGATCTCATGTTGCAGAATACAAACCAATGGGATGTGGAGAAGGTGCAGCGGATTTTCTTTCCGTTGGATGCGGCTGCTATTCTGAACATGCCAAGGCCGAGAACAGAGCAAGATGATTTTTGGGCTTGGGCATGGGACAGAACGGGCATATTTACGGTGAGATCTGCGTACAGGGAACTCATTCAGCGCTGTGGCCTGTCTGAACCTGCTACGGGATCGTCCACGGGTGACGAGGCTACCTGGAAAGCACTGTGGAGACTCCGGATAATGCCTAAGATAAGAGTGTTCTGGTGGCGGGTGGTGAAAAATTTGCTACCCTGTGCTGCTGAACTCCGCAGAAGCCATATGAAAGAAATAAGTAATTGTCCTCTCTGTGGCAATGACAATGAAACAAAGTTTCATGCATTAGTCGAGTGTGAGCATGCAAAATTGTTTTGGAGTGCGGCTCAGGATCTTTTTGATCTCAAGATGCCACGGTTAAACCCAGCTACATGGTCGCGGGACGTGTTGGATGCAGATATCATGAGCAAACGGGAGGCGGCAATTGCAGTCTCTGTAATGTGGACCATCTGGGGGAGCCGAAACAGCTACAACCATGGCGATGTCAAGTACCAGCCGTTGAGTTCTGTTGAATTGGTTGATGAGCTCATTAATCTCTGGAGATTCCAGCTCAGGAGGACCCATCGGCTGTGGTTCAGAAGTGGGCTCGACCTGCTTTGGGATGGATGAAACTGAACACTGATGGAGCACTGAACTTGCAGGATGGAGTTGCGGGTGCAGGAATTGTTGCACGGGATAATACAGGAAACTTTGTCACTGCTGAGTGTCGAAGATATGACCATATCAGTGATCCGAGCACAGTGGAGATGCTGGCGTGTAGAGATGCAGTCATGTTAGCACTGTAAATTTGTGTAACCTATTGATGAAGCGTGTTAACCTCCACAATGGAGGCCGCCTTGTATATATTGCCTTCTAGGTCGGTTACAGGTGAAGCCATCTGCTACTTGATCTCCTGAAGGAACAAACCGAATATCCAGCAACCCTTGAGACACTCGTTCACGCACAAAGTGGTAATCCACTTCTATGTGCTTAGTTCGCGCATGGAAGACTGGATTTGCTGATAAGGAGGTCGCACCAATATTGTCACACCACAAGCATGCAGCCCGCGGCTGAGCTATGCCGCGTTCCTTGAGTAAGGTTTGAACCGAAATAATTTCTGCAGTAGCATTTGCCAAGGCTTTGTATTCTGCTTCGGTACTTGATCTTGAAACAGTTGCCTGCTTCCAAGCATTCCAAGAAATCAGATTAGCTCCCAAGAATACTGCAAACCCTCCAGTGGACTTGCGATCATCTGGACATCCTGCCCAATCAGCATCTGAGAACGCACTTACTAGAGTTGAATCTGACTTGCAAATTCGAAGACCAAGTCCCAAGGATCCTTTGAGATATCTCAATATGCGCTTAACTGCTGTCCAGTGCAATGAAGTGGGAGCATGTAGATATTGGCAAACTTTATTTACCGGAAAAGCTATATCCGGTCTGGTCAATGTCAAGTACTGTAACGCACCAACAATACTTCGATACCTTGTAGAGTCCTCCGCACCTAGAGGCTCACCTTCTTTCGCCAATAATTTATCTGTTGTTGATAACGGTGTATTGATCTCCTTGCAGCCATGCATGCCGACACGTTTTAACAGATCAGTAGCATACTTCTCTTGAGTCAAGATAATTCCATCATGAACTTTATTAACTTCTATGCCCAAGAAATAGTGCAACGCACCAAGATCCTTAAGGGCAAATTCTTCTTTCAAATCTTGAAGTAATGCCGAAGTTGCTTTTTCACAAGAACTAGCAACAATGATGTCATCAACATATATCAACACAAATATGGAGATTGTACCTTTCTTGTAAAAGAAGAGCGAAGCATCTGCTTTTGACGGTTGAAATCCAAGATTCTGCAATTTCATGCTTAGTCTGGAAAACCATGCTCTTGGTGCATGCCTGAGACCATAGAGTGCTTTATCTAATTTACACACATAATCCAACTTTGACTTGTCTTCATAACCAGGTGGCTGACGCATATAAACATCTTCTTCAAGAACTCCATGAAGAAAAGCATTTTGAACATCTAGCTGTCGCAAAGACCATCCATTAGAGACTGCTAGTGACAATATTAGTCTAATTGTGGCCGCCTTGACTACAGGACTGAAAGTCTCTTCGTAGTCAATACCATAACGTTGCTTAAACCCTTTAGCAACCAAACGAGCCTTGTACCGATCAATAGTACCATCAGCCTTCCTTTTTATCTTATAAACCCATTTGCAATCAATCAGATTGCGTCCCTGAGTTGCGGGAACCAAGTGCCATGTGTTATTACGCATTAAAGCACCATACTCTTCATCCATTGCTCCCTTCCAATTTTTATCATCAAGTGCCTCATAAAGATCATTGGGTTCACCAGAATTAGTTAGCAGACCATACCGTACTGCGCCATCCGTATAAACTTTTGGTTTACGAATTCCATGTTGCAGACGTGTCTGTCTTGCAATCGGAGGGGCCGGCCGGATTCCCTACAAATAAATTCTGTATTAAGAAACGAAGGAAGAGTGCGCGTTCGGACCTCAACTAGTCTCCGTGCTCGTCGGGGCCAGTTTTAAGCTTTCAGAGAGTGGTCATCATACCCTTGCTTTCAGGCTTGGGCTTGGCGGATCCTCTAAGTAATGGGTACGTAGGTTTTGTGTCTGTCTTATGTCATCCTGGTGATTTATCATCGGAATAGCTCAGTTCGAGGGAGGGGGGGGTGGTAAGCTGAAGCGTCGAATAGTCTTTTTAGTGTACAGTGTCTTGGTTTTGGTTCGATCAACTATCCGCTTCAAAAAGGATAGTTCACAGTGTGCTCATTCTCAAAAAAAGAAAAAAACTTCTTCGTTTCGTTGGAAAAACCGACGCCAACGTTAAGATCAGTCTCCTTTCTCTTTTCGGGAGCAGAGCTTAAAAAGATGGACAGTAACGATCGCGTAATATCAATTTATCGGCCTCGTCATCGATTTCCAATTGCTCGGAAATTCTCAGCTATATGGGGGACTTTGATGGTGAGCAAAAAGAATTGATCAAGAAATTGGTAAACTTTCGCATGATCGATGGTAAAAGAACGAGAGTTCGTGCTATTGTTTATAAAACTTTTCACCGCCTAGCTCGAACTGAACGCGATGTAATCAAACTTATGGTTGACGCCGTAGATAATATAAAGCCAATATGCGAAGTGGTCAAAGTAGGAGTCGCAGGTACTATTTATGATGTTCCTGGGATTGTAGCCAGGGATCGTCAACAAACCTTAGCTATTCGTTGGATCCTTGGAGCAGCTTTCAAACGACGTATAAGCTACAGGATAAGCTTAGAGAAATGTTCATTTGCTGAGATACTGGATGCTTACCGAAAGAGGGGAATTTCACGTAAGAGAAGGGGGAATCTTCATGGACTGGCTTCCACCAATCGGAGTTTCGCGCATTTCAGATGGTGGTAAAGTGATACCATATAAGGAGCTCTTCCTCATTCAGTCATACTCAACAAAAGTAAGAAATGTTTGACCCTGATCCTTTTTTCATCTTCATATAGAAAGAAAATCGGCCTTCCTCATACTCCCCCCTTCATTCATGGAGTTGGAGGAATCCACAAGAGGCCTGCCCGTTCATAATTGCATAAAAGAACCATTTTATGAAAACTCTTGTTCCAAACAAGCAACGGATTGAGCGCACTAGCGCGAAAGCGTTAGCACGCGCATCCGTTTTCTTGCTTTGAATCCAATGGGTTTCGTCAATGAATTAATCTACCGGCATCGGAGGGAGAAGCGGAGTCGGGAGCTGGAGGAAATAACACTTTTTGATGGACGGGAGAGGCAGTTGTTTCATTTCATTCGTTGACCCGGAAGGTCGTACAGCTCCATAATCAGAAGCGCAGGAAGCACTGACGAAGGATGGTCTAAGCCTAGAGCGGGAACAAAGCAGAGGCGGGGGCTATGACTAAAGCCCCCATGGATTGATACGAAACCCCCCAGACCAAGTAGTCGATCTGCCAGCACCATCAAGCAGGTACCGAGGTATTTGAACCTCCGCTTTCAGTAGTTTGATACTCGGGCTTCAGTAGCCGATAGGAGGTAGACCATGCAAAAAGGGGCAAAGGCTCGGGCTCTGATATCAATCAATAGCAGCCAGCCAGTTAGTTAAACCAATGCCAGTTGACCGTGTGAAAGAAATAGATCCAATTGACGGTCACAGAACCACTACGGGATAGTCCGTGAGACAAGATCGGGATCCAGATTCATATCCCTCAACCATTTCAAAGGAAAAGGGGGAGCGGGAGGGAGTCAATTACAGAAAGAGTAGAGACGGATATGGGGACTGTAGCTCCGACCATGTCAACTATGATGCTCTCGCTGCTGCCAGTCCTTTCACCAGTGAATGCTGTCATGCGCTACTTCCCGAACCTCCGTGTCTAGGTCCTGCCGAAAAAGACTGCAAATGATTTACCATCCATCCCACTCATATAGGTACGTTATCGGATTTTTCGGATCGGGAAATGGGTCGAACCGCGCGAAATGGTCGCCTCGGAATACAGGGCGCAACGGAACCAAGGTTCTTTGTTGGCGTGTTGCGTAACAAGGGCAAGAGGGGGTGGAAGCGTTCGCCGACTTTGATAGGCAACGCATTGCAAGCAAATAGAGCAGAGAGCTGACCCTTTGTTTCTATTAGAGTCGCGAGCTTGTTGTAGCCGGTCCTAAAGGGAAAACCTTGCAGCTTACTTGCTATATCCCCGCGTCCTTGCACGGCTCGTTTTCTTCGAGCCCTGCTTCTCCCTTCCCCCTCTCCCCGGGAACCGACCGTTTGGAGTATAGCCAAGTGGTAAGGCATCGGTTTTTGGTACCGGCATGCAAAGGTTCGAATCCTTTTACTCCAGAGCATACTTATTATAAAAATATATAAGAAAGTCTCATCCCTAATAAATAAATGAAAGTAGATTTACATTCTTATTCTATTTCTAAGGGGGAATGTTGAGGCAAACTTAACGATGCTGACAAGCTGGTTAGGTGCCGATTTGGATTAGACATCGCAGGTTTTAGTTTAAGAATTGGGAAGAAGTTAAGAACCTAATGGAATCCACTGCCAAGGGGAATTGCTGAAATGAAGAAGAACCCATTCCTCGAATAGGAATAACCTGCTGCTTACCTTTTAAAAATCCTAAGCCTACACCACTGGCNAAAATCTACCAACCTTCGGGGAATCTAACCCCACATCAGGAAAGAGCTTCGTTCCCTCCTGCCTGCCGGCTAGAGTTATACCTTCCACCCTTGCTTCTGACTGTGAAGTAGCGTAAAACCCTCTCTCTGTTTGCCGTTGTACGAAAGTCTATCGATTCGAGGAATTCCTTAGGTTCTTTGCCGAGGATAGTTTCGCTTTGGAAGCCCTGGTGGACCCTTGAAGATGAGGATTAGGATTCGGTGGGTCAAGAAAATGCATATTCTTTCTATACCAGTGGACAAGAAGAGATGGAATGTTCCATTCCTGGACGTAAGACCGTGCTGTAGTAAGCTTTCTTTTGCTCAGGAAAGTGGGTCATTTCAGATACCACAGTTTGGAGAATAATAAGAATTTTCATAGGCAAAGAAGTAAAGTCAGCACTAGTCAAGTAGGAAAAAAACAAGTAGGAATAGCTAGAAGTACTTACTATAGCTATAGTAGTTGGCATGTCAAGCTCTATACATAATAGGTCTTTTCATAGCTTCGAAGGCTGTGTCAGTCACAAGTTGACTTTCAAAAGGAATAGAAAGACGGGATGGCAAGTATAGGTAATTATAGTCAAGAAAGTAGAAGTAAAAACCTACAAGAAGCAATGGTATTTCAGGTTGGATATATGCAAGAAAACAACTAGTAGAAATGCTAGGGTATATGGAAGGTAGACAAGATATGCCTATTTCAAAGTTACTATGTAAAGTAATGTAAGGGATAAGTAAAGTACGAAGAGAAAGATAGTCAAAGTTGACATCTTGAAATCGACTCGCATGGGCGTGCTTATAAGAGCTAAGCATAACACAATGAATGAACTATAGGCATGTTGGATCATCTATAGTCCTAGAACATGTAGGACCTGGAAAATGAATCCGAGCGAGCGCCAATTCCCTTATATCCTTTGAGTCCGACTAAGCTGCATACAAGTGGTTGTAATTAATATTCCTTTCTTCCAGCCAGGCTTACTGGGCACTTCGTACCATCAAAGTTCTGAATAAAAGTGAGGGGCCGCCCACGCTATCTCCAACAGCAGAGATCTTAAGGGAAGACTGAGTTGAATATAGAAGTCAAAGTTTCGATTTAGTAAGCATCAGTCAGCTAAGCCTACCTTACTTACCATACTTTGTGCATTGGCAAATGTTGTTTAAAATGCTAGACCTGCGTTCTTAGAAATCTTCCCCGGTCTAGGCGGATTCGATCGATTACCTACAAAAGAACTAAGCTGTTGCTAGGCTCGTTAGCTCCAAATCTGAATCTTATACTCCTTCCGTCCAATCTGGCTCGTAAACTTGAACTACAAGTTCTGTAGCTTAGCCGCCTCCCAAACACCTGCAAGAAGTAAGAAGTGGGCTCGCTTGTTTCATTCGATTTAAGTACAGACGACCAGTTACTAGAAAATCAGAATCATCTGCAGGACTCGCTTTGATTCTTAACAATCTTATCTGGCTCGCTTTTCTTAAGTTACCTTACTTACAGACTTACTGACTGGATGTGGAGTTGTGGCATCCAAGACTTGTTTCTAGCAAGCGAGTTACATAAGAAACCGAATCTCTAAGTTCCTATGACTTTCGACTTGTTGAACCAGGTTCGTATTCATATTAATTTGGAGTTTGCTTGCTCCCCTCGAGACTGATTTTCACTACAAATAACCGGATAGAGATATTTCCTTACTTATAGAGCCAGACTGTGCTTCTCCATTCATTCCTTACTTTGGCTTTAACCCAACCTTATCAGATCCAAACTTAGCTTACTTGGCTGTTTTGCTCGTGAGACAGAGGGATTCTACCACCTGCGGCCTAATATAATAATAAACAGAATAATTTGACCGAGGTATTTGGATGTGGCTCGCACTAATCTTATCCGAGACAGAGGCTCAAATAAATAAACTCCTGAGACTGGCCTAAAAGAGTTAATTGGTGCTCTGCGAGACTGGGTTTTTTGGAAAGCTGGAACGACTTACAAATGTTGTTAAATGCCGCACACTGGTAAAACCCTCCAAGCTTACTTCCCCTCCCAATCATTCGGTAACCCTTCTTACGAAAGAAAGGTGTTCTTATTGCTATCTAATAGCTGATAGCTAGTTCGCGTGGGCTAACGAGGTAATTCCTCGACGAAGCCGCACAAGGAAGCGGGATTGAATCTTAGGGAGTATTGTGCTAACCCTTACCTGTAGCGAATTAAAGAAATTATCTAGGCCCGGTACACGGGTAATCCGTACTCCTTATTGGGTAAGGTAGGTTCACCTTTACTTTGCAGGGGTTGCATGAAGAAAAGAAAAGTAACTCCCATTCGGGGAGTCCAAGCAGTGATCGATTTCTTTTACTAATTAAATCACTTCTTTTGATCTTAGCCGTGAAGATGCCCGAGATTCGCCAACAGAACAGATATCTATTCAGCCCTGCTCGATGACAGCAAATAAATCTCCTTTGATTAGTGCTTCTAATCCCATCCCATCTTTACTTTCTTTTATAGATACTAGATTGGAAGGATTGACTGAATTCCTCTTTCATAACTGGTCTTTCACTACGACTTTAGTTAGCATTTCTGCCGGCCTTATTCTTTTTAGAAACAGTTTTTTTCACCAGCAAACAAACATAGTCAAGAGTTCAACGTTGGAAGAAAGGAATGGACTATCTATCCAGAATGTTATTTAATAGATTATTACGTCTATTTTATAAGGAAGGGCATTGGCAAAGTTAGCATATGAAAGGAGCGGCGGTCCTTCCTCGGGTGTTAGCTTTGTATTCTTTGTTGCATTCAGTTTATTAATAGTTTTTGTTTTCATTCTTGTAACAATTTCTAAACTACTTTCCTTTTCACTAAACTACTTTATACTCTAGTTTTCAAGCTAGGTATTTGTTGCATGCCTTTTCTGCTACCAGGCTTGGCATGTTGGATCGTAAGCGAGTTGCCCTTTTGTAATAAGCAGCTTAGTGTGTAACTCAAACTGACCTGAAAATCATTACTATAAGGGGGAAGCAATATAGGATCTAGGAGAAAAAGAAGAAGCAAAGGGCGTAAGCAATAAACTACTTATGCTGACTCAACTACTTATGTTTATTTGATACTAGCACTTCTTTCTATACTTGTAGGCTTTCTTTCTTATATTCAACTTCAAGAATTCGCTATGCTAGGTTCATTCCATCCATCTATCAGGTTTGGGTAGATAGGCTCTTTCCTTAAGAAAATGCACGTAAATAAGTGAATCCGAAAAGACCAAGACTTGAATGAAGCCCATTTC